CCTTTTAAAGCCATCAGAACCATGCCCATGACCACCATTAAACCATCAATGGATTAATCTAATCACTAGGGCATAGTCCTTACAATCGAATCACCTCTTCAAGGCCCCACCTTTCAATACCATAATAGGATTTTCCACCTCTCCTAACACTATCACAGTGGGGGTTAAGTTTCTAAACATAGATGTTTGGGGGAAACAATTCAATTCATAGCAAGTATTAAGTGAGCAGATGGGTTTAAGCCCTTAAAAGGCAACATGACAATATAACATTACTTTCAGAAGCATTGCAAACACACACCCACACCCACACATACATTCATAAGTACTGCTATAGACTTGAAAAAATAAAATTATTACTTTTTGTTCTCAGGTATGGCATGTTTCCTGAAGAGAGTAAATTTTAAAAATTAAACATTTATCCAATCCCATTTTAAAGTATAATTTTTCCAGAATATTTGAGTGCCCAGAGGTAAGTTAGAGAGAAGCAATTTTTCTAATCAAATAACTGCCATGTTAAAAATTCATCTGAACTTAAAAAAAAAATCTGCAGTAGCAGGGTCTTCATTTCATAGATTTAATTTTAAAGGCATAGCAGTCAAAAGCTCCACCCACCACCCAGGGTCGGCTTTGACCCCTCCTGACCCCGTCTCCCACGCGTGGACTTTTCTTCCTGAACATCATTCTCACCACCCACCAGTGTCCTCCCTCCAGCCTGTCTCCCAAGACGGGGCTCCCTTCAGTCTAGACCAGTGGCTTCTGTACAGAGAAGCCATGATGATCCTTTTACTACTGAAATTCAATCACTTAACCCCCTTCTTTAAAACCCTTCAAATGTTTCCTCTTGTTCTTAGGATAAAGTTGTTTATTTGCTTAATCTTAAACTGGAACACAGGCAACGCCTAAGCTGCCCCCGTCATGCGCGGCCAGCCTTGTCTCGGGTCATGGCAGTCCATGCAAACGGCCTCTCTCCTGTTCTCAGGAGCACACTGTCCTCCCCGCCGCTGCCTGTGCCATCTCCTCAGCTGGTCGTCCCCAGCCCCCCAGCCCCACCTGTGGTCCTGGGCCAGGAAGCTTCGCATCCTTTACACCTCAGCTTCAAACCTGACCTACGAGGTGTTCCTGCTGACCCCTCTCCTCACCAGGCCAGGCTCCTCCTTCTACCACATAACATTTCTGTTTTGTTTTGTTTTCTCCCAAACACTTTTCATAGTTGTTAATCGTAAGCATCTTCCTTGGTTAAGTGCATCCTCTGTGAGGGAGGGGCTAGATTTGTTTTGTTGACCACTGTGCTCCCTAGCACATCGTTATCGTACAACACGCACACGCACACACACACACACACACACACACACACACACGACAAAGGTTCTGCTTCGTAGTAGGTAGTCAAAAGAGTAGATATTATTTTTTTTTTATTAAGGTATCAAATACAAGGAAAGGGTTTTCTTAGTCATCGTGAAAGGCAATGTAGCTTCGAAGTTGTCTGTCTTCCAAGTTTCAAGCACTGAATTGCTACCAAGCTACAAATGGCAGCTTTTCCCTGTCATAACACCCTTCACGGCACTTGATCCAAATCAGGTGTCCTTTCTCACACACACACACACACACACACACACACACACACACGACAAAGGTTCTGCTTCGTAGTAGGTAGTCAAAAGAGTAGATATTATTTTTTTTTATTAAGGAATCAAATACAAGGAAAGGGCTTTCTTAGTCATCGTGAAAGGCAACGTAGCTTCAAAGTTGTCTGTCTTCCAAGTTTCAAGCACTGAATTGCTACCAAGCTACAAATGGCAGCTTTTCCCTGTCATAACACCCTTCACGGCACTTGATCCAAATCAGGTGTCCTTTCTCACACACACACACACACACACACACACACACACACACGTGCACACACCCCACACTATGAACTGTGCATAAATACATCATAGCTGGTCCTTCCTTCAGGAGAGCAGTTTGCAGTGAGAGGTGGAAAACGTGGAGTTGAAAAAGGTGAGTGACTTGGATCGAGGTCCGTGTAGATTTAGTATTTTACTCTCCTGACAAATATTGTTCATGCAGTTTGCCTGGTGTGCACCAAGTACAACTCTAGTCACGGGGTATGTGGAAATGAATGAAATAGCTGTGGCCCCCAACACCGGTGGGGCTTACAGTCTTGTGGGAGGAAACAGGAAACACACCAGGTAACGAGCACAGGGACTACAAACGGTGAGTACCAGAAGTGCTGTGAGGAGGCGTCCTGGTGCCACAAGAGAGATCGACGGTGCAAGGATGGGGCCTCATTACCATAGGACGGTCAGGAGGAGGTGACCGGATGTTAACGGGAGGATGACAAAACAGAGCTTTTGGAGACTTGAGCTTTCTTGGCAGAGGGCACCGAGGCGTGTGCTATGGAGGCCTGGAGAAAAAGAGACGTGCAGACTCCCTGAGCCAAGAGGAGGCAGTGGGGCTGCAGCACAGTATGAGGGATGAGCAGGGGGGCCCCAGTTTGCCCAGGATTGAGGGGTTCCCAGGGCATTGGACTTCCCAGTACCGAAACTGGCCCAGTCTGCACAAACAGGACTGCTGGTCACCCTGGGTTCAAGATGAGTGTGGACAGATTGACTCTGAAACCACATGAACATTTTTGAACTAGCAATATTATTATCATGATAATAGAATATTAGAGGGACAAACTCCCTGGCTATTTAAATTGGATGGAATCTTTTTCCCACTCATGGAACAATCTCTGGGATCAGGGAAAAGATGCTTGCGAAGAATAATAATACTGTGAAAGTACTAAATAGCAAAAGTTAAGAAAATGAGAAAATTAAATTGATGATAGTACCTTAATCATTACTTAAGAGTAAACAGACTGAGTAAATAATGTGGATGAATTTTGACGTGAAAACTCTGATCTTATCTTCCAGGTAACTATAAGCCTCGTGTGAGTGTGTGTGTGTGTGTGTGTGTGTGTGTGTGTGTGTGTGTGTGATGTGATAAGCAAATGACTCCTTCCTTCCTCCTCCTTTCTTTATAATTAATGCCACTCAGAAAAGGTATTCAACTGGCTAATGACATCTCTTCTTGTATTTTTATGCTTTTCAAAATATGATCACATTACCTTATTGAATCCCCACAATAATTCTATCAAGTAGGTATGATCTTCAACATAAATAAGGCTATGAAAATAGAAGTGACTTGTTCAGCAATGCAGAGTAACTTCACAGAAAGACTGGGAGGGAAGCTCAGGGCTCCTAACGCCTAGACCAGCATTCTTTCTAGTGCCACCCTATGTTACCAGCGAGATCTAGGACAGGATTCCTTGGAAATGATAGGTAAGCTAAAAGGAAGGAAAACAGAGCCATGGCAGCAGTTCTTTGGGAAGTGCTACAGTTATCTTCTAGAAATAGTCAGCCACACAGAGCAGGCACGGAAGGACACGGCGGGCACGGAAGGACAGCCCAGTGTCTCCTGGGTCTCCTCACCCCGTGTCGGGTCATCTTTGTAATAACCCGGGTGAACTCGCCCTCCATCGAGCACTGGCATTTCCCCTGCCACTCGTGCACACCAAATGACATGACATTTCTTACACCTTTGAAAACATCAGTGAAAATAAAAGAAAGTTCATTCTGAACTTTACCTCTGCTGGGCCGAAGGCTTTGCCGACAGGGCAGGGATAAAAACAAGAGAGGGGAGGGTCCTACACAGAAGAGATAAGGGGGACAGATGTACGGGCTCAAACGGCAGTCAGCCAGTGACCACACTAGTGAAATCACCCTCTACAATACCTCACTCTCTACTATGCCTTTCCTACATAAAGAATGTTTTTTCCTGTTTGAAAGTAATCTGTTATTATTATTATCATCATCATCATCATCATCATTATTATCATTATTATTATTATAGTATGTATTTAAGAAGTACAACATGACGTTTTGATATACTTATACACAGTGAAATGGTTACCTCAGTCAAGGAAACTAACACATGCATCATGTCACAGTTACATTTTGTATGTCTGGCAAGAGCACCTGGCATCTACTCTTTGAACAAAAATCTTGAGTACAATATAGTGTTACTAACTATAGTCCCCATGCTGCATATTAGACCTCTAGACTTAACCGTCTGGCATATCTTCCGCTTTATTCCAGGGATAAACAAATCTTGAAGTACTTCTGTCTTCTGTTCTCTTCCAAGATCACAGAGAACGTGTCATCCGCTCAGGTCCAGAACTGGCTCATTCACACACAGATGGCCGGATGTCGCTTCACTGGAAGAGTTGTTTTGGAATTGTTTGACTGAACAAACCAAGCAGGTAGCCAGCTGATCACAGCCGTCGCACGTGTCATTTCCTCAAGGTCACAGAGAAACAGTAGCAATCAGATCTAGAACTCTCATCTCCTCGTTCCCAGTGCCGTGGGCCGTAGCAATCTCTGGCTGTTCGTGACATACGACACGTCAGGCGGCACCGGTGTGGCTGGCAGACCCTTGCTCCTGGAACCCCTGCTGGTTCCTACGCCTGGTGTTAGGATGCTGTAGTACAATAAACCCTAGTTCCTGGAATTGTCACTATGTGATCGTGACATCATAGAAGAGCCCGACAGTTCCGTCTCCTGATGTTCTGAACATGTTTCTAACTAAGTCACATGATGAAATTTGGGGAAGAATTGGGGAAAACTTCCTGCACAACTGAGATTCAAGCAGCATTTATTCTGTCCTCCTTTGTGACCTTCTTTACTGGACTCATCATCTTATTCACGTTCAGGCTAATCTGGAGAGCTGTGAAAAAATGGCAAAAAGTCAAGGGAACAGGAATGATCTTGGTCAGTTTTCCTCTCTATGAAGAGCAGAGACAGGTTTGGCATGTGTTTGGGTTCAGCAAATGATTTAGGCATCACTCAGTCTCTCAGGCTAACAAAGCTAGCTCTGGTCTGGTGGCTAAGGGAGGGTGGGAAATAGGGACCCAGGCTGCCACCCCAAAGCCTCCAGGGCCAGATCCAGGCCTCCCCTCTCTCTCACCACTGGGAGGAGCAATGTCTTATATGGATGATGATGAATGTTAGCTCTGGAACTCGAGCTCACTGTTCCAAAAAACCATCTGTGAACGTTACGTCTATGCCTTTATTTTGATGTTTAAAAAGACAGTTGTGCTCGGTAGTACCAGAAACAAGACATCGACGTCAGCCTCACTTCCAGAAACTCATGCATGATGCACATGTGCTCACATGTATACTGTGTGAACACAACACACCGAGCTGCCCATACCTACACACACAAATGTGTGCACGTGCCATCGAGCCACAAATACAGAGACGCGTTTTATACCCAAACAAGTTAGGCAAGGGTTGATTTTGCTGAATAACAGCTGGCAAATGGTGATGACCCGAAGAAATAATATCTTACCCAGATAAGGCATTGCTTAAGAGCTTGATGTGAGGTTCTCAAATGCTACATAATGGCTGGTCAAGAGCAAAGAGCTCTATTATGCCCTGTGTAGTTTGTTTCTGTAAAAGATTCACTACATTGATGAGTATGATTTTATTATATCTTAGGGCCAATTTGTTTTTTCACAGAAGGCCTCTCCAATTTTATAATGAAATTCAAATGAGTTTTCCATATTAATGTCATACTGAGTATATTTTTTAAAAATCAATTCTCACACAACATATCAGGAAGGCACATGATGAGTCACATGTATTAAAGGGCAAATCATTGGTCAGGATGTGAGCTCTACCAAAGAATCTTTCAATGAGACTTTCCTTCCTACCAGTTAGAAACTTTATCTATTGCATAATTTTTGATACATTTCAAATATAGTTAAGTAAAAGCATTCTATAAATGTGAGAAAGGATAATTTTAGGAGAACATGATACCAGATAAGGAACTAAAAGCAACATTAAATTGCTGAAACTTTCCTTCCTCCTACTCTCAAAAAAAAAAAAAAAAAAAAAAAAAGATACTTAAGTAATCACCTAAAAACCAATCTGCAATTTTTTTTCTGTGTCTATGAATCTTGATGGGAAATGTAAAACACTTATTTTCAGAGCAGAAAGAATCATGCTGCTCCCAACCCTGATCGTTACAATGATGTCAGTTTGAAGGGTCTGGGGCTGAGAACATGTGAGAAAGGCCTGCATGAGCACTGAGGAATTCAGAATGAAAAAGCTGTGCAGAAAATCAGTAAAGTGAAAATCCAGCAAAATTCACTGTATGAACTGTTGAATAAGCAACAGGCTTCTCTGGTTGGGACAAGGTAGAGCAGCTTCTGGCTGATAACCACAAGTGTCTCCATCGCCATAAATAAAACAGATTGCTCTCTCTGAGGCTCAGCTCACTCTCTCCGTTTCTTTTTCTTGATACAGGAACTATTCTCATTGGATAGCATTGGTAGGAACGTTTCAAGAAGCCCCCACTTCCACGGAGTATTTCGTGATCATATAGAAATGTTGCTTTCGGCGCAGACCTTTGTCGGGCAGGTGTTGGTAAGTACCTTTTTATTCCTAGCTCGCTAACAGACTTCAGCCGTGAGCACGACTGCAGTCGGCATATGCAATTGTATTACCCAAGCGAGCACCTGGTATCCTCGGGAGTTTTATCTAAAATGTCACTGCCTCCCAACTGCCACCTCCCTCTGTCTACTACTTTCTCTCTCCATTATTCTTCTTTGTTTTTCTCGGGAGTAAATACAGTTACCTGGCATTATAGTTTATATTTATTATCAGCGTCTTTGCTAGAAGGAAAGCTTTATTAGGACAAATGTTGTGTGCATTTTTTCTCCTTAAATGTAGATGGCACACAGATATTCAAAAATATGTAATGTTTAGTGAACTAATCTGGCCTGAAATGTACAG